AAACAAATTAAGCTCCATCCAGGAAAAATAAAACAGAGTTTTATTTTTCCTGGATGGAGCTTAATTTTTTTTTTTTTTTTTTCTTGTCATTTAGGTGCCCCAACAAGACCTAACGGTCTTGTCACAGAGCACCGCGAAAGTGCATATATTAAACCAGGAAATTCACGCCTCCTTCCTTACCGTGACGCGAAAATATGTCCAAAGCTCATTTCAAACCTGGATCTGCTACTTATAAAGCAAGCGCTGTAACTACTGTGCCACGGCCGCAAATCTGTTAATCTGTTTGGTGGGTGTTGAAAATCTATAATATATAAAAAGCCTTTTCAATAGGTATAAAAAGTGTAAATTCGAGTCTCGACCAAAATGTATTGATACGTAAGGAGGCATGCTTTACAAACTCATCAATCAAAATCAAGAGTTGTGGCAATATTGTAATGGCATTTCAAAAGAGCGAGATGATTCAATCACTCTCGAGACATTGTAGAATGTAAATAAGTCTTTAGCCTACAAAGACAAGAAAAAGAATGCATACACACCTATATGAGGTGACAAGCATATATAGTAAAATCTTCACCAGCTTCACAAAATTGGGAATCAGTGGGATTGATTGAAAAAAAATACCATCATGGTCTACAAGCTCGCTCAAAAATGGTTCAAAATCAATTAGTTGAATATTATTGAATTTGGCATGATCCACAAAATATCACGATGCAGTTCTAGCCTTCCATAATCTTCTAAGCTATTTTTGTAATAAACCTTAACAAATCCTGCATCCAAACACTGACCAATGATAAATTTTTTGACATTTACTGAATGCTTAGTGGTCTCTGTCGGTTCAAATCGTTTGCAAATCTCGTAACACAATCCAGAGATGCATAGTAAATCTGGCGGTAGTGATTCTTTGAAATTGTAGCAAAGTATGGAACTCCACCTCCAGTTAATTGTGATGTAATCCTAGGTTTCCGCGGCATCTGCCGTTTGTCAAATACACTTCATTCTGTGGCTACAACAACCACATGCCATAAGACTAAAGCGAGTGTCAATCAGCAGTGCCGGATCAATGGGAGAGGGTTATAGCCCCAGGCCCCAAAAAATTTTTGAGGACTTTTTTTTTTTTTTTTTTAGTCGTTTTTGGGCTCTGGCCCATGAAAAGGCCTCGAAAAATAAAAATAGCCCCGGGCTCCAAGAAGTCCTAATCCGCCGCTGTCAACCCGGGCTTCATTTAACATTATCCTATAACGCGTTGATGGTGTTTTTTGCATTGCAAAAATTTAGCTACATTAATGAAATATTTTTTAATAAAGGTTTTTTATTGTAATTTGAATAAAATAGTATGTTTTGAAAAAAATGCTAATAAAAATCAATATTTACCTTGAAGTGCTATATTAACATCCTCAATTATCGTGAAGGTCATGCGCTAAATTTCGGAATGATTCCAGATAACCAGTTGCTTTTGACCTTATTCTTGCATGAATTATTAGAATAATTTTAAAAATAATTTAACCAGATGATAATGACAGAATATTAACTGGTTAAAGATATAATGAATGGTTTTCTTAGGATCCATCGAGTGGGGAAAATCGGCCGCAATGATGTTCCAATTTTTACATCCACTACAATAAAAAACTTATTGGAAGACTCTTTAAAGTCTGCAATCCATGGATTTTTCTAGACATGTTAGACAAACCGTTGAAACACTGGTCCCGACAATTTTTTATTAACAAGCTAGATTGACACAAAATGTCCTCCAAACAGATTAACAAAGTCGCGCTCCTAATGTTTTCGGTTTGGTAAAATTTCATAAAAAGCTCCTCCATTTTTATTTATTACCACGCCGAATGCATATCGAAATTTGTTATTTCGCCGACATATTCGCTGTTTCATTACCTATCAAACTGTAGAATTGTGAATCTCTAATACTTTCGCATAAGCAAAAGTATAAGGAATTACGAATCGTTGTATGAGTATGTTCATCTTGTAGGATTTTGATTTTAATTTTATGTAATTCAACCATTTTTTGAATTGTTTGCTCGTAGTTTTAGTAGCACGCAAAAGTTTAAACTATTTTTACCTTTTCCACTAATAGTAAAGCTTTGCCATATTATGTATTGCATACAAGTATTGCCTATTATATTAGGAAAAAAAATTTATTGATAGTTAATCTAAATTTTTCTTAAATGAAATGCAAGAATTACCAAATAAAGAAGAGTAATAAATATTTTCTATGAAGTTCATATTGCTCGTAAGCGGCAAAAATTCGTAACGCTTTCTTCCAGTTAAAAAAATCCGTTCGAAATAAATGCTTCGCACGAATCTTTTTCTCTTGAATGAAAAAGTAAAGACATTTTTATATGGGTATCTTTGATGAAGGTTGAAGAAAACACTTTGTCTTTCTCGTAGTCATGTAAAATTCATTCATTTTTTTTCTTTCCAGCTTTGTTGAAATTTTCTTTCTATTTTCATAGATATGATGGCTGTTTTAAACAGCCATCATGTCCATAAAAATAGGAAGTTAAAAATTTTAGGTCCAGTTTGCTCTGAAAAAGATGTTGACTCAACAACACAATTTAAATTATTTTAATCATCAAGCTGAACAAATGATGAGTATTTTCATAGAAGTTATTGCTACTTTCGGGTTCAGTGCAAGATGCAACTGTTTTAGTTTTCTTCTTTTTTTTCTTGAAAAAAAAGAAGAAAACTGTTATCGTCTTTATTTTATAAATTACAACAACTTATTACTTTGAAGTCAATGTACTGTTAAATGTATAAATGAATAATCTGCAGACGTGCAAAAAAAAAATCTAGCTACGCCCAGTGGCGCACTATGCGTCGCTTTAATGCATGAGGAAATAGGCTTTTAAATAAAGAAGCATTCAACATATTGAGCTAATTTTTCACAAGACATCGGACACATTACTAATTAATCCGGAAAATTACATAAGTCCGGATATTTCAATTTTATTCAAAAAACAGTAGGCGCCAATATATTATAGAATTTTACAAAGTATTTCATTAAAACGATTTAATAGTAAATTATATATTTGAATATAAACTTATTAAAATTATAAACAAATCTGGTATTGTGGTTTATCCTCCTTTGGCTAATTTCCATAGAGGCCACATTCCAAGGCTCGCAAAGACTAGTTTAGCGTCTAATGGAGCGTCATAACCCGCTCTACGGACCGAGAGTAATGTGAGTTTGGGAAGAACGAAGGTATGTTAGAGTGAAAGACAGAAGTAGTCAAGTTAGAAAGATAGCATAGATAGCTGTTAGTTAGGTCACCTAACTAATGTACGCCGAAAAAGACTTGATTGGAGTTCAATTTATATGAACTCTTCCTCAACTTTCTTTATCGTCCTTAAATTATAAAGAAATCTGCAATCATCTGATTCTTCGCCCTTTAGTTTCTTACAAAGTCTCTTAACATTCTAATAGATGTTTTTAATAACATGTGGCTATGAAAATTGTTTTTTTTTTTTTAATTTAACGCAGAACAGCTTATCAGTATAATATTTTAGTTCATGATAGATATCTTTTTAGATTAGACAATTACTAGTTAGAATTTATTAAATTATTGAGATTTCTTTACCAAAAAAAACATAATAATAATAATAACAAAAATTGTCAAACAAAAATAATCAAAACTCTTAACAATAGCATAACATTCAAAAAAATACTCAATAGAGGTACATATCAAATGTCACAGACAAATAGTTTGCTGTATCCCAGTGTTTGCTGCCAAGAAAGCTAGACGTGCATGACTAACTCGTACAGTTTTGCTTTCCTTGTTCTGGCTTCAATAGCACTCTGACAAAGAACCACAACGATGAACTTTTTGTCTTTTTATAAGATTTATAGCCACAATTTCTCTTCACTCTTTGTATAGTGGAAGCACTTATCTTAAATTTATTCGCTAAAGTTCGGTTTAGACAAAAAACAGAAATCTCCGGTTTTTTGTTAAAGCATCTTTCAATTTTTTACCAAGATCTCGTCTATCAAAACATTTTTTTTTCAACTTTTTGAGTTCCTTTTGATTGTACCAGTGTCATTAAATCATTTCACAACGCTCTGCACTGTTCTCAAAGCAATCTGCAACTCTTTAGAAATTATTTTGTTTGATACACCAGTATTTTTAACGATAAAATTTTTTCTCACTTTTTATCTTGATTTGATGACATTTTAATTAAAACTAATTGTTTTGATAACAGAGTTGTATAAATTTTGAATTACACTAATACAATGACATTTTAAAACAATTAGCTATTTAAAATAATGCACGGTTTCCGTAAACACCACATCAAAACACGCGCAGATTTTTTCTGGTATGTGTATTATTGGAAGATACATGTACATAGTACATGTGTTATTGGAGGATAATTAAAATACCATATAAAAGAAGCAACATGAATTATCATTTTATGTACAGATTGTGACATAGGTATGGTTTTTTTTAATGTATTATTAGTGGAATTATAGATAAATCCCTAAGCTGGTTCAAAAGCTGTCTTAGTAATCGTATGCAGTTTGCTAATATCCAAGACTCTTCTTTGCCTTTATTAATGAATGTAACATGTGGTTTCCCTCAGGGATCCATAGTTGGGCTCCTATTA